CCACAAGTTTTAAATAAGCGTTACCGTAGACCAAAGAATCGTCACACACGTACAGACACACATACAGACAGGCATCATTGTAAAAATAGTAAAAAACGTGTTGAGGGGACTCTGATTTGTGCTTATGCACTGAAAATTCACTACTGAATTTTTGAACACTAAAACATACGTATGTATGTAGGTTGGCGGGAGGTAAAAATAGTGAGTTCCCTTGTTTCCTTTTAGCGGAGGCTTCAAGTTAAAATATTATTTGTGGACTCAAAGTTGCACTAGTTTAAACAGACAGTTATAGGCTTCAAACAAAAGTACCACTTCCGTTTGCCCAATTTTACTTAAAAGTCTAATCAGTTTCTTATCTGAATGTAGAAAACACAACTACGGGGAATGGAAGTTTTTGTGAGTTTCATACAAGATTTATCGTGCACAAAAAAATTGTCACACATATTGTTGAGACATTAGGTCATTTTGAAGCAGAAGAGATGAAAAATGAGCAATGCCCTCGCCGGGACTCGAACCACTACACCACGAAGGCATGCTAAGAAGGCAGGAGAAAACCTTATAGCATACCCTCAGACACACAGGTAGCACTTTAAAATTAATAAAAACATGTCGTGGAGACTCTAATTTGTGCTTCTTCACTGAAAACTCACTATGGAATTTTTGAACTGAAAAATTTTCCTCCCTTACCTATATATATATATATATGTTACCGTGAAAGACCGAAATTGGAAAATGTCGACTTTCACCGGAGAATATCAACATTCACCAAATACGTCGGTGAAAGATCGAATATTGCACTACATTCTTGTATATTCGGACCCTCACCGGTGTATGTCGACAATCACAGATATGCTCTGGTGAAAGTCGAAAAGAGAGGTCATAAAGTGCCATAATAGTTTAAGTTGTTGCAATAAATAAGATTTGAATCACATAATTTAGTAAGTTTTTTATTACTATTATTTTATTTTCTCATTTAGATGTAGTCGTCATACTGTATAATTAAGTAAGTTTTTAACTTCTAGTTATTTTCCTTTCTCATTTTGAATGTATTGTGTGTTTTAGGTTCTCATGTTCTTAAGTTCTTATTTCAAGTCTCAAGTGCGTTTATTCGCGACTGAATTACGGGGAAAAAAATATAATATTGTTATATGTTCAACATTCACCATTAGTACATGGTGAATGTCGACATTGACCGGTGTAAGTCAGAAATAAGAGTATTTGGAATACGTTTCGGACATACAACCAAGAGACTATGTGAATGTTGACATTCACCGGTGAAAGTCGACATTCTCCAGATTTCGGTGTTTCACCGTAACATATTTTTAGGTTGCGAGAGGTAAAAAGTAAAAAAATTTTAATTTGCACACATTCGTGTTGCTATGTATTTATTATTTACAGAATAAAACGAAACTCAATAACAAGGTTTCACAGCTGCATCATCATTATTCGTAACGTTTTTCAACATACCAAGGAATGTATTCACAATGTTACCGTCAATCATCGTTACTTATTTCTATTTTAAGTGGACGGGTTTTGGGTAAAATGCCTTTAGAATGGGGAGCTTGTCTTATAAATTCCAAAATTCTTACGACCTTCGAAGTGGCAAGACATAGACAGGCAAAGCAGTATACATTGAAAATTACAGGCTACGGAAACGATAATTATCTTCTGCGGTCATCTAATTACAACCGAAGGTCAGGCTAACAAAAAGAACAGAATTGCATCTTTATGGATCGCCGTATCATTCTGTGTTTTAAAACAGAAATCGAGTAGAAAAAGAAAAATTATTTTTTTTGTGTTTTTCAACATTAATGTGATACCCAGACTCTGAATCGTGGTTCAGGCTAAGGGTTGCCTGCGGAAGAAACGTTATGCCGCATATTTTCTTGGTTTTTAACTTTCCCATTAACAAAACAACTCAAAAACACAATCACCCAAATTCTAAGCTCTAAAACAAAGAAACTTTAAATAGGTTTTATGAGGTTTGTTATCTTTCTCATTTTCAAACATGTGCTTTCATACTGAGTGATCTCTCTCTGGTGTTTTAGAAATGCACTTTCAATATACAAGTTCTCAAAGATCAAATCATTTAAAGAAGTGTCTTTCAGCCTTTTTTTTTTTTTTTTTTTTTTTTTTTTTGCCATGCCCCATCGAAGCGTTTCTAAAATTCTAATGCCTGTATGCAACATACACATAGTTGCTCCCCTTAACAATCAAATTGTCCCTCCGTGGAGCGTGGAATCCATGTTGGGAACCACTCATTTAAAGACTGTGAACAAAGACATTAAATACCTATAAAGTTTTCATTCGTAAATCACATACTTGCACGTTTAATTGCCATGATCCTCACCCATGCAAATTAGTAACCGCCGCTAAAAGAGGGTAGCTATGTACCGACCGTCATCAGCCTTTACATGCTGAACAGTAAACTATTCAATTTTTTTACCAGAATAAGTGTGAAAGAAAGCAGAGAATTTTATCACGGCATGGATAATTTTATTTATCCAAATGCTGGTCTGTATTGGCGCGTTGTTCACTTTGATTATCAGATAATCGACTGAGTTAAAACGTGAATGCGAGTTTTGGAAAGAATTGGAGTTCCTTCTCAAGGGGTTTTAATATATGCGAGAAAAGTTCTGAAGCTATAGCACAAACTCACAAAATTCAAAATGCTGTTGTTTAGTAAAATAATATAAACTTAATCTAGGGATAGCCAAATAAAAATGTCTGTTTTAACGGTACTAATCATGTAAGATTGAAATTATATGTCTGTGGTAATATTTTGTTTCTAGCATTATGTAGTTCGAGTTGATTTAAATTATACACATTATGTTTGTTGGAAAGAGTAGAAGGAAATGTTCAAATGCATTAGTTAGATTTCAGAGTGTGTTGTTTCTCAGTTTCCAGTGGTAGTCTGTGACTTTCATCATTTAGAATTGTCTTTTTTAATATGCTGTATTAGGATTATATTTATGACTAAATTTCACGTATATTTATTTGTTATAGGTAAGTCCCATTTGAATTTAGTTGAAATACCCTGGATTATTTCGATTTATAAAACAAATCTGTTAAAGGAAAATGACTATTTTAGAATTAAATGCTGGTAATCGAAAATCTCGCTCCTTTCCCTAATCAGACTACATGGAAGTAATCAACTCTAAAATTTATTTTAGAGTTGATTAATTCACCCAACAGGGCGCTCGCGGAGACCCTAGAAGGGTTTTTGCTCTAGATGGTTAGTGTGAGAGAACAATACGTGTAAAATCCCATAGTGAAGTTCTGGTGTTCCACACACTTTCACCTGTCACCAGTTACTTTAAATTGCCATTGCCAAAAATGGAGATAGATTTTTGTGAACACGAGACGTGCATTTATACTCAGCTTCTGATTTAATGAAAAGGTTATTTCAACCTTCTTAAGTCTTTGTAGTTAACTTCAGACCATGCGATAATTCGCTTCAAGTCTGCTAGGAGTTTGGAACTAGTTTATGCTACCAAAGCAACTCTGAATAATTCATCTCAACTCTGATTTGAATCCTTTCAAGTATGAATAAGCTATAACGCTAGCCAGAATCATAATATTTATACATCACACAAAACTCATTAAGACAATGGGAATTAATTATATTTAACGTTATATAGTTTTTAACGTAGCAAAACTGGAGTTAAATTTGAAAAAAATTATATATTCAAAATTTGAATAAGATAAGCCGAACAATAAAATTAACTGATGGTTAAGTAGCAAAAATAAATTTAATATTTTAATCATTCTGTAAAGAATGTGGCGAAAATCAAATACCACATTATCTCACGAAATAAAATTGGATCTAGTAGGTTTCATCCAAAAGACCTCGTAAATCATAAATAATTTGCCCGTTCAGTTTGAAAGACTTAAAGCTTTATAAGTTCAAAGGGAAGAGAAAGTTACAATCAAATCTCAATTAATAAAGCCTCGCTCATGAGCCCACCAATTAGCATTTTATCAGAATTTGAAAATAACATGATATGTGAAAGTACTTTTTTCAAAAAACTCCAAAGCAAGTTTTAACACAAGCGTATGAATTAATCTTAACTCGGATTAAAACTTAACGAAGCAAACTTAAAATGACTAATTTTTTTTTATTAAAATCTATTTGTCTGTTTGTTTGTGGCAATATCTCATCCGGAACAGCGGGGCGTTGAGCTTCGGGAGAGGTATCCCAGATTCCAAAAATCCATGAGAAGCCGTTTCGACCGTTCTCATCTTCGCGCGAATTTAATCAGCCGAGATATTAATTAAAAACTCTGAAAACGTTAATTTTCGCACTCATTTTTCCGACTGGGGACAATCTCGCGCGCTGAGATAAAAATCCGCTGTATTTCGAAAAGTGTTGCCACTGCTCGTTTTCAAATTGTAGAGTTTGTTAATAAAACATTTAAGTTTTACAAAATATGAAATAAAAATAGAATTGCCAAACATTAAATGAATCATTTTTATGTAAGTAAGATCATATTCTGACGTTGAAGAAAGCAGGCGATTACATGTGACGTCATTGTATGCCAAAAATATTTCGTTAATGTCATCATTTTAAATAAATAGCTGCGGTTGGCAGCTTTTTTGTTTCAGGGTAGGATAACTGACACGATATGTTACTGCCACATTATTGCTTTTATTGATATTGAGAAAAAGTTGTTATATTATATTAAATTTAAATCACAACGTCATACGTATACGTATTAACCTGAAGTGTCAAAAGGTTTTGTTTCTTGGTCGGACAACCAAAACATTATTTACGAATTGGTTGTTGCTTGGAAAGAATTAACTGATTTCATTCATATTGAAATGTTTTCATGTATTTTCTTTTCAGGTTGTACGTTGAACTTACAAATTTGGCTTTGGCTGTAGTCCGCTAGTAAAACCATAAATTCAATATTACTTTTGTTTGTTTTGTATTTTCTTTCTCTGGTCTTTTTTCTGTAATAACGTTGATAATGTGATCAAGTATTACTCATCGGTTTCAGTATTATTCGCTATTCCTGTTGTCATGGATACAGCAGAGTACCTGGAGAACGTGGATGCCCTTTAGGTATGTATTTATTCATTTATTTATTTTTCTCTTTAGAATAAAATTGAGAGTTACCATAAATTCAATTTCTAAAGTTCATCTTTGATTCTAGGGAGTGGATGAATATATTACTTTATTAGAAAACATATTTATTACGCCATCGAATATGTTTTTAAAGTATCTAATTTGTTATAATGTTTATTTAAAATTATTATACCTTTGTTCAAAATGCTGAACTGCTTTTACAGCATTAGAAAGAGGTAAAAGAAAATATTACTGTTTGCTATTATCTATTTAACTAAATCAAAATTTTTATCGTTATAAGGAGGCTGTTTCCTCTTACTTCTCAGAAGCTACACTGATATTTTAATTTCTTTCATTGTCCCGCGTTACTATATTTCAATCTTAGCAAATTAGCTTTAAATAAGGAAAATAATAGTTTAAAACTGAAATATGGAAATGAGGTAAATGAACAATATTTTATTCGCAGTTCTAGAAAAAATTCTCATTCTTTGCATATTCAACATGTGTACAGCGATAGATAGTAATTTTTATTTTACAAGTATGCGTTTCCAATTTAATACCCAATTTACTTCCATTAATCGTATACCTATGACATGTTAAATAATGACTAAGATAGGAATAAGATTTGATAAAAATTTTACCAAAGTGGGAATTTTCGCGATTAATTTCCCGAATTTTAGATTTTTTGAAATTTCGGGATTATCATAATTTTTTGCGAACATTGAATAAATCCAGGAGCTTCAAGTTTTTCACTGGTATTTTTTAAGTTTTACTGCAACTGCCAGAATATTTTAATATTTAAATAATCTTAACAATACCTTTCGTTAGAATTTACGAAAACAATTACGCTGCAAAATCAGTCTGTCCCCAAAATTGACCTGAACTTTAAATTATGAAATACCCCTAAGTCTTGCTAAGGTGTATGAAGTGATGGCATTCCCATAACGGTTTCGGTGCCGAACGTTCCTTTTGCTCAGTTTTAAAATATGCTACATAATGAAGAAAAACTGCATGTTGGGTGATTCGCTACTTCATGTATAAACTTCTTGGAGGCATAGGTTACTCAAAGAACGAATCAGGAGCAGATTACCTACATAATGAAGAAAAACTGCATGTTGAGTGATTCGCAACTTCATGTATAAACTTCTTGGAGGCATATGTTACTCAAAGAACGAATCAGGAGCAGATAGCAATGCTCAGTCTGATACGCTATCGTTATGTGCTATTGTGCAGAGAACACACACACACACATACACACACAAAAAATAGCAACAAACTGAGTAACATAAGTTTATCCAATAAAATATAACATTGCGAAATTAAGAGAGGTCACAAAGGTGTTCGAAATTTCCGGTAGCAGCTTCAACACAAGCCTGATATCGACGCCGCATGAATTCACAGACATTTTGAAATATTTCGGACCTCTTTGGGATGGCAACATTAGCTAAGCAGCCACATGTGACAGTACCCTTCTCATTATTCGGGTTTGCTATACACCAAACCTTTCATCTGACCCCCCCCCCGCCTTTCAACAAAAGGTCCAGGGACGATGGGTCAGACAATCTTTCAGGTCAATGAATGGGACCACCAAGCCTGATCCGCTTTGCCCAAATATCGCAGTTAAGTGCTCCCCAAAATCACGTATGAAATGCGCTGGAGACCCATCATGCTGTAATATATCATAGCGCAGCGACTGCTGGATCTGTTCGCCATTCAAGTTTGGGCAAGACTTCCTCCATAATCCTCTTATAATACCGTTCATCCAACCGAATAGGTGAGAGATTACAGGTCTAATAAATTCTCTTCCACAAAGTCAGATCAAGCTTTAAAGGAAATCTTTGCTCTACTGTGTATGTTCGTGTAGCACAGACGTTCTCCACCACCTATGCATGCCACTTAGGTGTATTATAGCAACCTTACTTGGGGTAGTATAGCCTTTCATTAGTCGGTAGCCAAAAAATGAGATTCGCCATACCCTTCTGCAGATAACATTGAGCAAAAGGAACTAACTCTCTATTGGTCTGCGAAAGACAGAAGCAAGTACCAATTGCAAGTGGCATGTTGAATGTCTCCTGCATAACGAAGTAGCATCTCTTAAATTTTATGCTGTTCGTCTCCAATTTATGGCAAGACTCTCGTACAAATCCGTTTCATATAATCTTTGAAGACGGCGTGCAAACTTTTGGTAGTTCGGAATGCGCTTTGTCGGGTAGCATTGCTCGTGCAGTTGCACAGCAGATCGCCCGTTACAATTCGCAGCTCCATATGCTACACACATTATTTTCTAACTTCGAATTTCTCCATTCTGATCGGTATAGTAGTTAGCAATGCTGGCTACCATATCGTTGAGAATGGGTTCGAATTTCAGAGAAAGGATGGTTGTTTGTAAGTTAATAAGTGTTTGGCCGCCATCGAAGCGCTTAAAATACTGAAGAGACGGAAATCCTCTCGAGTAGCTTGGTGATAGGGAAAGAGGGATGTAAGATACTCGAAACCCTCTACCAGGGTGTTATGCATCAAAATTGGAACAAAGGTTTTTTACACAATTAGTTAGACGGAACCATACCTGTACTAACAATGGTGAAGTTCTCGTAACCCGCATATTTCTATCTGTACTTGTACCTCGCGGAAGTTTATCGAATGACGGTTTTCCCGAGTAGACATTTTACTGGCTCCACAATACTCCCTCCACCGCGGTACGATTGCGTTTTCGAGCCTTCATAATGCATAAAGTTCTCTATGAAGGCATCCCTCTCTTTAGGAGATAGCATTATCATGCTCTGATCGCGATTCATCTTTGAGTAACTTACCCCTCCCCGGTCGACTCACCAGCGATCGAGCAATAAAGTCGCTGAACACTGATAGTTCGGTTTGGGGTTCGAATTTTGGCGAACAAGCTGGCTGGATGGGCGTTTTCGTGGTTTTCCCCATGTGTAATGTGTATCGATCCAGTTTCCCTTAGAAAGTCATCTACGAAGGCATTCCTCCTCTTATGCAGATAGCCCAGGAATGCTTTGCCACAATCAAATCAAATAAATTAAACTCTTCCCCAATGTTTCTACATGCGGAAGCGATTAACCCTGTATATGTCATACAGTGTATCATAACGCACTCCTCTTAAGGTTAGGTTATTTGAATATGGCAAAGTTATCAGGACTATCTTTCTAAGAGGAGGGATACCTTGATGGAGGACGTACTGGGAGAAAACTAGCTTGTGTTTTCATTACACGTGGGACCATGAAAACCAACTGTGCCGCCATCCCATTCGCCTGGGATCGAACCCAAGCCAAGGTCGAACTACTAGGATTTAGTGGTCTTGAGCACTCCTACTGGTGGGACACTGTCCTCCTAAATGGCGTTGAATTATATTGCTGTAGTTTCATAGGGTTATAAAACATGGCTGCTAAGATGAGACTTGCGAGTTTGCACCTTCTGTTGTTTATATTTACATACATTTCCTCTGTCAATTTTCCATTATTCTAAAAGAAAAGATGCATATTTTAAGAGTCTGATATGCGAGAATCATAGCGAAAATGCCATAGCTTAATTTTTTTAAATAGGCGCATGCAAAAGACTTTGAGTGTTTCTTCAAATGGTAGTTTTACAGATTCCTAGCTTTTACATGGCGCCGATGAACTATAAGTTTCAGTTTGGTAATATAATACTTAGTTAAGAGCTTGTTATTTACATTACTTCTTCGTATACAGAGGAACTGTTTCCCTTGAAATGTTGAAGCAAATCCTTAGCCGAGAAAATTTTGCGAAATTTTACAGTTTCTCTCGCGAACACCTCATTAATTTCCTCTTTTTCCTCCCACGATAGAATTACTGCCGTAACCATGATACTTACCAATTTCCTTAAAGTAAAAGTATAATACTATGTGATTAAGCCACGACCTGAATTTTAAATAATAAATCAAAAATGGAATATAGAATGTGTTGACGAAAAGCAAATTATTGTAAGCATGCATTGCAAAGAATAATGACACGTGGATTCCAGAAAAAATATTCTGGTTAATCCCATTCTCACTGCTACACTTCAGTCATTCCTTTTTGCTTCAGATTTGCTCTGAATTTTTCTAGTACTCATGTGTTGGTAGTCTATATGTTTGACCATATTGTGAGTCAGTTCCTGCAACACTTGAGTCAGTAATAGAAAGTGTGACAGAGATAGAAGAAATGGGTGATTGATTAATAAATGAAGAATACAGAAGCAGAAATAGAGGATTTAGGTTGATGATATGAATTTGAGAATTATTCTGAAAAGCTTTCAGTAAAAATATTCAGTAAATATCAGAGTCTTGCTGAACAATTATTGAAAGAAGCGCAGATGATACTGTAGCTGGATTGCAATTCTGGATAACATTACATTAACTCAATATTCTGTAACGCGGCGATATTCTGTAGAATAATTATATAATAATTCCGATTTGAATAAGCTAGGTTACTTATTATAACAGCAATCATTATAATATATTTAGCCTGAATGAGAGTGCATGTATAAATGAAGCAATATTAAATCACAATAAAATTATTTTCAGACTAGCCAGAGGTCAGAAATGTATTGAAGCTCGAAGCAAAATTCAAGTAAAATAATTTTTTATTAATTTAAAACTCTGCATGCGTTTAACGTATGGGTTTTTTTTCCTTTGCTTGCAAGAATTTGCTCCATTTGAGAGTAAGCTGACCTTTGACCTCAAACTGACATTAGTTTTAGATAATAGCTGCATATATTATATCTAGCACTGAATTCTGGTTTTCGAGGGGCAAAAATATGCTACTTAACTGCTTCAGCAGATAGTTTTGCCTCAAGAATAGATTTTGAGTCAATTTGACACTGAATGTTTCCTAATTTTAAAGTTGAAATGAGCGTGTTTCTGCTGCTACTATTCATCAAAAATACTTCAAATAAATATAAGGAAAGTAAGGCGATTAATTGAAAAATATGCATGTTTTCAGAAAGTTGCTTTCTTTCAGAGCCGTGACAAGATATTTTTTCACCTGAGGCAAAAAGGTAAATGCGCGCCTCTCTCTATATAAATATATCAAAATAGCTATATTTGTATTAAGCAAAAGTAACTGAATTAAATCAAAATATCATAATTCTTATAGCATAATTATACCATAAATTTAACGTATTTTTTAATCGTTGCTTTATAAATTCAGTAAAATAATATAACCAATTATTTACAACTTTCAAATGAAAATGTTAAAAATTACTTTTTTGATAAATAAGAAATAACATCGAAATGCACATTGCATTAATTTCCAGATTTTCTTGTAATTCTTCCTATTGTTTTATTAATTTAAGTTTGACGAAGCTTATTTCTCCTAATAATAACTGACAAATTTAAAAACATAATTAAAGTAATTTTCGGATTCGTATGGCCAGTTTGGCGTGATTTCTAGTGATTTACCTGACACAAGTGCCTCACTTGCCTCGCCCTTGTCGCGGCTCTGCTTTCTTAATTCCTAAAACAAATGAGTCATTTTAATGAATCTAAAAAAATATTTTTTAAAAAATAATATAAAGCGTGCTTAATTTTGTAATGGCAGTGGAACCTCTGAAGAATATTGCTGAAACAGCCAAAGACATAGGTGCTACAAAGTTCATTGAGTATGCTGAACAATCTGGTCTTTTACCTATGCTTACTGATAGAGGTGCATATACAGTGTTTGTTGCACGAGACAAAGCTTTTCGATCTTTGACCAAAGAACAAGAAAAGGCTCTGAATTCAACTAAGAAATCTCGCAGCCGTCCGCCAATTCTTTTATACACAATAGTAGAGGGTAGATTACCTGTTGAAGAACTTCCGGACTCTATCACTACACTCTACAGAGAAGGATCCGTTGCTGTAACCAGATTTCCTTCTGGGGTAAGTTTTTTTTCCTCATATGAATAATCTTCTTATGAATATCTTATCTTCTTCCTATCCATTGAATTTACAATTAAAGCCTAATATTCTTGAAACATATAAGAAAGAATGTAATATCAGAGTCGATTACGAAATTTTGATTATGATAAAAATAATTTCTTTTTCTTATATTACTTTTCACTAGGATCAGGATAATTCGTCAAATAATTTAAAAATTTAAGTAGAAATAATAGCTTAAAATACTAATTTTGGTACAAGAGCATGCATCTGTAAAGTCAACATTTTTAACTACGGTTGTTGGCTTAACACCAAGCATTATTTCTGAAAATGATCAAACAGACAGGAGTGGTATACCTGTTTGCAGTGAGCTCTTAACTAGCATTATAGTACCCTATTCAAACCTTGAAACTGGCATTTCTATATTCGCAAGTTTTACTTCAGTAGACTAGTCAGTGCCATTTGTAGCATTTCATTCAAATCGCTACTGATCGTTGTTGCATCAAAAAACACCTTATTGATATATTAAAGCCAAATTATCCATGAAAATGGTTAATTAATGTTTGATCTTAATTGGAGAGGTTTTAAAGAAAAATAAAGCATATTTTATGTTAATCTTCTTCATTGAATTATCTGATAGTTATACTGTTCTATTTAGTAGTTTGAGTACGTAACAACCAGATTTAAAGCAAGCAGTAATTATTACCGTGGTGCTCGAAGTTTTCACTATATTTTGGAAAGTAGAAGAATGGTTTCATTACGCATGAATACAGGTTTACAAAAACCATTCATACTTTTTCCCTTGTAATTTATGAAAATAAATTGTCACAGGAAAATAAACTGAAATCTACAGACCTAGTTCCGTATTATGATTTGCTAGGAGACATCTTTATTTTCATCACCGTTATCATAAATTATGTCATTTGACTGATAGTATCAGATGATGTCCATGAATTTTTTCGTTGCCAAAATACAAGGGTTGCGCCTGCATTGGTTTAAGTCTTCGACAGATTATAGACAGAAGACAGTACGAATTTTCCCAGCTCCGTTCAAATTTTGAAGAGAAATTCCCTAAGGGATAGATCCAAGCACCCCTTACATCAACTCCTTCAGAGGATTTTCTGCTCAAAAGTATTATTTTATGTACAAAAATAGTTTAAATACCGCAGAAATACAATGGACATTTGTGGTATTTGAACCCAGGCTAAATACTCTGGCAGACGGCTCTCCTACCACTGTGCCAGCAGGGTGGCATTGCTTTCTTCATTGATGGTAATAAATATTCTAGAGAGTAATGAAATTTTAATAGATATTTTTGCACGAGGTCTGCATTGTGAATATCTTCCCTAAGTTTTATTTTCTCCGGGTTATAGGGAAATTCAAATTTATAGCGATTTAAAAAGACTTTTTAAAATTTAATTAAAAGTCTGAATTAAAATTTAATTAATTTAAAAACAACTTTCATAATTTAGTTAAGGTCTTATTTAAAATTAATTAATTAAAAAAGACCTTTTAAAATTTCATGAAATTTTAATAAATGAAATTTTAATAAATTTTTACACGAAAACTGTATTGTGAATATCTGCTCTACCTTTTATGATCTCCGGGTTATATGGAAGTCCAAATTTATAGCGTTTTAAAAAAGACATCTTTTCCTTTATATTATGAAAGGGTCAATAATATCATGAGATAATTAAGATGCCATCACAGTATGAATCTTGACTAATTACCAGCTTATATAACACTAAAATAAAATATAAATTTACAATTAAAGATTGCAAAATCGGAAAATGCTTTAATTTTATGATATTTGTAGTCTTTATTAGGCAGCAAACTTTTGCTTTTCATTTGCATTAGTATTTTTAATTGTTTGCTATGTGTTCATTTTGAATCGATAACATAATAAAAAGGAAAAGAGCTGTTTTTAGTTGTTTCGTAGTTTTCTTTTCAGTTTTTCTATTATTCTTGAAGTTGTTCTATTATAGAAAATATGAACAGTGAAAAAAAAAACGTCTTGTTTCAAAAGCTTAGAAAATTAAAAACTTCTTACTGTAATCGTAGGCACAAATATTTTAAAAATGATACATTACTGAACAGTTAGAATATTTAACACAAATTTTTTTTTCTAATTTAGCTCAATAAAATTGTTCAGTTTTCTATGAAATTATGGCTTACTTTATTCTTATTACTGCTGACTGGTCATCTGAGTGTGATAATGGTAAAAACGACTGAATGTTTATTAACTCCCGTTTGTTCCATTTCAGTTGACTACTGTGAATTGTATTCCACTAATTTCAACAAATCTAGAAGCAACAAATGGTTTGCTTCATGTAACTGAAACATTACTGCTGCCTCCTGGACGAAGTACTGTCACAGATCTCTTAGCTCGTACTCAGTCTTTAAGCACCACAGCAGCGATAATGGCCAGAGCGCAACTGTCCAATGAACTGAGAGATCGTAAACCAATAACAGTATTTGCTCCAGTTGATGAGGCCTGGGAATCAGTTCCACAAACTTTTATGGAATCTCTTATGGAAGATCCAAATGCTCTAAAAGGTTGGTAGGTCCTTTTATAAACAGAATTCAATATAAACTAAAAAAATTTCTTATTTAAATTCGCGGTTTAACAGGCCTTTGTTTTTCCAACTGAAAACTGTTTAAGAAATACTGGTTATTTAAGCACTTCATCTTCTTATGAAACTCAAATATTTGCTTTCTTTCCTCCACAGATAAAATTTTTGCATCTGAACCTGGCCTTAGAAATACTCCCCCCCTTTCAACAGCTGTCAAGACTCTATTTAGACAAGCTTCTACTCGTCTCTCTAGACAAAAAACAAAAAAAAAAAAAAAATCTTTTGTGTTCCCTAGTTTCCTGTCTGAAAATTAACAAAGACGATCCTCTAAACACAAGCTTTTAAATCTGCAGTTCCATTGCAATATCAGCTGAAGAGGGGCAGAAGTGCATTTCTATTTTCCGTCCTCGTAAGTGAATTTGTAAGATTTTGATACAGCCCCGCTATGGAGCGAATCGTGACCAATAAAGCCATCAATGACCTCTTTTCATTTTCGCTTTAATCTGGAGGGGGGGGAGGCTAGGAAAACGCGTAGTGACGAGTTCCTCTCGGGGGTGACGCTTCAGGCCACATTTAATCACGAGGTGTGTGTGACGTTGCTAATATATGATGAAAATTTTCAAATCGACAAGTCTCTACCGTGAGAAAAGGAGAAATGGTTAAATCACTTTAAAATGTTAATATTCATAAAGCCTATAAAATGAAATCGTACATACAATGTCCATTTCTAAAATAAATAGACTATTAAAATAAAGTTGATTCTTTCTGTAAATGAAGGAAAAATATTAGGAATATTTCATCTTCATTTGCAGAATGAATCAATTTTGTTTAATGAAACTTGTTTAAATGAATAATTGTTGGCATCATTCTCTATAGCCAAAATAAATTTTAAAATTATTACAATGATTTTTAACTTACTTTTTAAAAGAAAAAGAAATTAAAATGTATAATTATCGATAAAAATAATATTTAATGTTAATTAAAATCTATTTTAGATACATCAAGTAATGATCAGTTAAATTTTTCCTCCAAGGACATTCACATCACATTAACATAAAATATAAAATAAAAATCACAGTATGAAAAAGACAGCTAAAATAAATTTAAAATTAATTAGTGCTCATTAAATAAATAACTTAAATCATGAATACGAACAATTGATGAAAATCTAAATGTATAAACACTTGCTCGGAAACGTTTTTGTGTGTATGGCCGACTGAAACACAGTATGCTCTACTCTAGAGATAGTTGGAAAAAACAAAGTCGTGATCATGCATTTTAGAAAACAAAGACGAAGCTAACGTTTACTGATCCAGTACGAAAGGTCTATTATAAGATATATCTTAGACAAAATAATACATATAAGATACTTCTAACCCCAAGTATCTTGGACTGACTCTAGATGCAGAGTTGAGTTTCTCTAAACGCCTTGAACATGTTTCAATAAAGGAACTGAAAAAGGCTAAACATCCTTAAAAGACTTTGTGGTGCCTCTTGGGGATCAAGACCAAAAACCCTCAAGAATACTTACACTTCCATCGTCAGGCCTGTTCTAGAATAAGCAGCACCCATATGGCCATCGACAAGGCCTACTGTTAAAGGAAAGATCGACGCTGTTCAATATAGGGCCTCTAAAATCATCACTGGAGCTGTTTCATCAACGAATAACATCAAAATTGAAACGGAATGCTGCCTCGCCCCCTTGGAGAGTAGAAGAAAATTAATAACATTAAATTTACCAACAAAATACAAACCCTTGCTGAACATCATATCTCAAGTAGAACTTTCAGGGCATGGAGTGATAATTGCAGGCTTAAGAGATCCTCGACCCTCCAACATGACCAAGATATCAGAAATGACAACAACCTCAAATATGAGACTCTCAAAATTTCCAAAGAGCCTTACAACATTCTGTGCCCTCTTCCCCAAACAAAAATTTATTTAAATCTCTTACAGCCTTGTACCAAGAAAGATCCCACCGCAATAATCAAAGAAAAGGGTGACCATATCATTGAGGAACTCACGACTTTAACTCAAGATCTGACGATCGTCTACACAGACGGCTCTTCCGACTCCAATCTGAACAGAGGAGGAGTTGGAGTCTTTTTCATCGGACCAGACGGAGTGCAGAAATGCCACAGTATTCCTGTTGGGAAAATTGCCTCCAACTATACATGCGAGCTCGTCGTCATCAAAAGTGCTCTGGAGATTTATCTCTCTAAAGAAGACCAGAGTTCCTAGGGCATCATGATCTTCTCTGACTGCAGATCAGCATTGCAAGTGATCCAGAAGGGCAAATGTCAACTCAGTCATCAGATCATTGAGCTCACAAACAAAATTATTGCTTCCCAAAGATCCTGCATCTTACAATGGATACCGGCTCACGTAAATATTTTTGGTAATGAGAAGGCGGATGAGCTTGAAAAGGCATCCCGTGATTCTCCTCAGCCATCCAACTGCCTAACCCTCGTTGATGCCAATGCAGTTGTCAGCCAAAGACTAATCGGTCAAGTTAAAGGAAACTCCATCCCGGAATTGAACTGTGACAGAACCATATCGACTATCATAACCAGACTTAGGACAAATCCCTTAAAAGGGATGAGGATTTCTGCAGACGGACAGCGTAGTTACACCAACATTTGTCCTCATTGCCCAGATGACATCCCACTGTCTCGCCATCACATCTTCAGCTGCCCAGCAATCCAGACCAGACTGTTTAACATCGGCATTGAAGACCCACTGGACCTACTTTATACTGATAGAGCTGCCGAGGTTGCAAAAGCTGTCTTTGACAGCTTCGAAGCTATATAATTGCACTTTATCATAGACATGACATCATCATAAAATAATATTTGGAATCTAATATGATTTTTACAAAAAAACGAAAGTAGAATTCACAAAGTAAAGTGATTTTTAGCAAAATTTTGAGGTCCTTTTATGTTCACCTTTCTTCAACACTAAGACACAAATGTAATTGCTCCGAGAGGCACTGATTTTGAAAATCTTGACCCTTCCAATGAAATTTTTCAGCAGTTCTCTAAATTTAGTCTTCGTTTTGATTGGACGGCGGATGAAGTTACACTCTAAAACCAAGCTAAGTTCTGTTATCAAGTAATAATTGGTTCTTGCAGATCAGAAGGAAACATGGGGTCCTAGCAACTTTCCTTTACGCAATCACTTTGGGTAATCGCTAGGTTATTTGATAGTTCTAGTGTAGTTTTCATATTCTAGAATCACTTCCAAAGCGAAGATTCATTGACATGATGACAAATATTACATTTCTCACTTGTTTCAGCTCCATCTAGAAAGACTTTTCTGGGTTTTTTTCCCCTTTTTTTCCCTCCTGTAAAAAATAAAACTATCCCGTCTTATCTGTAACTGACTATTTTACAGCATATGTAAGAGTACGATACCCTTCTGAGGAGACGACTAATTTGTACAATTTAGATTTATTTTTTGCGTGCATATTATCTTCACTCAAAAATGCAGAAGAGCTAAATTAATTTGCACTAGACAGCTTATCATTAGACTGGGTGCAGAGAGAATAACCAGCCTAATTCAGTGAATGCAGGATTTCTAAAAAAGATAATTAAATTTCTAAAAAAGATTCTAAAAAAGTTAATTCGGTAGTGTTGTAGGGTTTCTCTTAGTTCAATTAACCTATTATTCAAATTTTTGTTATCTTTCCTGCTGAACTTCTCAACTTTCCCTCGCATTTCCTCGCCAGGATATAAATTTAAAGTTAACCGAAATGAGTATTTAAACTGGTGAATCTTGGAGTTTATTCAGATTGTGTTTTTGCAAGCTAATACACATTTCTTTTCTGACCTTGTTGTTACGCTGATACGCCTTTTGGCCATATAAATAATTATCACGCCCTGCTAGGCTGTCGATTCAACCTATTTTAGCCATAACCTAAAGTGCTAGTCCAGCACTACACTTTTTAGACTTGAACTGAAATCGATTTGTGTAACAACGCTTAAGTTCCACCGCAAGTTGTCGATGTTATTGTAAAGCAGGAAGTACGTGCCTTTCTCTTCATAGTTGAAAATAATAAAGGGTTATTTTGACCCTTTCTCTGTGCTGGTATTATTTCACGCCTGTGCAAGAAGTCGCCAGGTTCATTAGTAGTATCTAGTATTAGTTTATTTGGCCAAGGAGAGTTAGATCCTGTAATATCATGATCTTGGTAGGAAGCATGTCATATCAAATGCCGGCACAGATGGCAGTTTTCTTCTTATAAATGGCGACGATGCTCAAACCTGCAAGCAGGCCTAGGCTTTGGATACATAGTTTTTTTTTTAAGTCAAAGTAATGAACAAACGAAGTGACTAGATAGATTGTCATAACTAAAACCTGTTCAGCTCTTTCAAAATTACTTTATAAAACTGAGCTGTTGAAAAAAGTGTCTATTTGAGAATACTGTGCTTTTTAAACGAGATGGAAACAGACTGGAGTGTATATAATTTTTGATCGCAATAGGTACCTGGCAACTTAACTTACAATAGAAAAGAAGATGCCAAGCAATTATTGAAACTAAGGACGAATATACTCCATTTTAAAATTTATTTCCGACATTTCTCTTTGAAATACAAGTATATACGCCTTTATTTTTAACCATGCTGTTTTTTTTTTTAAATAATTACAGTTTTGTTAGGTATATACTATTATGAAAGTCAGAGCAAAAGGCAATAAGTTACTGATTTATCTACAACTGTGCCAAATTATTTCATTAATATTTATTAATATTTTTTAAATACAATGAGTTAAATATTGTTTTCTCCCTAACGGTAAGAATATTTTAATCGAGCACTTCCTTTACAACATCAGAAAACTCACAGCACTGGCTAGATAAAATGTGACTGCTGATTCTATACAAAATGATCTCTCTCTACCCAAACGTTTTATTCATAACTTACCAATTTTATTAAATAACATAAATTTAAAGATCTCATCAGATGTGCTTCCTCAAAGTTAATAGGAACCATTCATATAATACTTCTTAAAATATAAGTTCCTGCTTTAATGCTGTTGTACTTTTTTAAATTTCGATTTTTTAAAACTTTAGATGCAATAAATTTCCCTAATGTCTATATTTATAATATGTTATATGAGAGCATGCTGTTAAATTATGAACTAGAACACGTGGAAATGAAATTTTTATCAATCTGTTCTACTTATGTCTTTTCCTTGCAAACCCCCTTGGTATTCTAATAATCTAAACATATTTTTAATTTGTGCTTCTCTATTGCATATAAAACAATTTTTGAAAATCTGCATTTTATAGTTTTATTGCAGTATCATATTGTAGAAGCACAATGGTGTAGTGCAGTGACTGCTAACGAAAGTGAATTGAAAACATTGGAAGGAAGTTTCCTGAGAATGTCTTGCAACAGTTCTGGCCAATATGTGAATAACGCTCGCATCATCCATGGCGATGACAAGGCAGGAAATGGGTTTGTTCACCATATAGACTCTGTGCTCATACCAGATAAAGGTTGATTATTTTATGTTTTTAATATGTATAATTTCTATAAAAAACCTATTTTTGTCATATTCTGTAACGTCTAGTATTTTTGGCTAGCATAAATTACTACTAGACCTATTTGAAAGTTTGGAAGTGAATTATCGCTAAAACTAGAAGATGAATACAACAAGGAAATGGTGTAAAAACCCTTTTATTTAACTTCCTTATTTACAGACGGCACAGTCTTTGTGCTTACAAATCCACAATCCATTTGTGGCCATAATACTAAAGACAATGGTAAACTAAAGATACTTTAGTAGTTCAACACTACACATGTTAATTTAACTTAGCAGGATGGCTCAGAAACCTACATTAAGCAATTAAGTTTCGGAGGCAAGAATACGAAGCCTAGATTCATAATTCAAACTAGTATTGGTAGAAACAACAACGTGCGCAATCAACAGCAAAACACGCTCTGACTCACCTTACCACTACTTCAGTTTAATTACACTCTTGTTCCCCCTAACTCATTTACATACTAGCGAGGAAACGCGACAGAAACAAGAAATGACAGCAAAGACAACCAAATTAAAACAACTATTAGTAAAAATAAAATAAAAAAAAAAAAAAAAAAATACGTCATAACTCTAAATCTAAATCTTAAGCCAAAAGGCATTCTTAAAAAGGCGTACACACCTGATTTCGTAATGAAGGCGGTTTTTTTCCTTCATCTTCTCGCTTTACTGCTATCTTGAAATAACGTGAGATAGACTAGGTTATTTTGTGATGTTATTTAATTTTCGGTAGTCCACGGCGAAAAGACACGATTTTGGATTTTTCTGAAGGGGGATGGTCGATTTTCGTTTTGCATAAGACTACCGAACTCGCGTAGCGGCTGTTATTCGACACGATTATTTTGTTGCTTTTAACATCTCTTTTGTGTGGTCTTCTATAATGCTTTCTTTCACCTTATCATACCTGAAAGGTTTTGATTTTACAACAGGGGCATCTTCTATATTAATTTCTTGGGAAACTAGTTGACAAAAACCAGGTTTCATGTCAAAAAGTTTGTAAAAATTTTTTACTAGGCCTTCAGTTTTCTTTTTGTCATCTTCCGGGGGGGGGTGATTCATATCTACTTCAGGTGCTGCTCCCACTTCTTCTTCTATAGTGTTCATTTGTACCTGTAAGATAGAATTCTTAAAATATAAGTTCGCACTCGCTGCCGTAAAAAGTCGACCCCCAAAGATTACTGATGTTAATAAATCTTTGACCACAAGAAATATCACTTTTTGATGCTCGTTCTTAATTTGAACGTGCAGCACATGCATTGTTTACCTTGTGCAGCAATTACTTTTCGCCCCGTAATTTTAAATAGTCTATAACTTGAAAAGTGCTTTCTAAAACGTTCTTGCCCCAAAAAACTACACTGCGCCCCGGGATCCAGTAATGCAGAAGTAGGTACATTGTTCAGTAATATGTGAATTTCAGCCAAATTTTGTACAACGACGATATTTAACTTGACTTTTGAGGAATTTTGCTTCAAGGGAAGTGACTGGACTCTCTTCTCGGACACTAATTAGTTTAAATTATTTTAATTATCAGCTCCTTTCTTCTGTTGCTTCTTTTAGCGATCGCCAAATGACTTTGTTTGACCCGTCTATTTTGCTTCCGCCTTTTTCGGTCTTCTCAGACTGCCGGTACGGATGCTTTGAGGTCTTTGTTGGGGTCAATTATCTTGCATACCGGCCATGACCAAAACTTGCCGTACGCCTTCTATTTGAAGTTTGCCTGCTCTCAAACTTTACGGCGAGTTAAAATAAATTTTCCAGCGTCTGTGGATTTCGCACTTTCATTAAATCCTGTATAGAAGGAAGAAGACGCGATAAAATCACTTCGATAAATTCGCTATCCCGCCTCTTTCCACACAATAAATTAAACACTTTTTAACTTTTTGAGTAAAATAAACTACGTCAGCTCTTCTACCTTGACTTGATACTTACTAAAGTGCTGCGCTTCCAGCTGGCACAGTCTTTCACAACTGGGAACGTTTTTAGCAGAGCGTTTTTGAATGTATCCCAGCTATATTTTTCAGAACCTGGTTCGCCCAGCAGGAACTTTCCCATTCCGTTGAACTATCTGAGGTCTTGTCCTTTTAGGTTTGCCGAGGCAATTGTTACTTTTTGAGATACGGAACAGGACGCAATGTGGAGTTCCAGCTGCTCCATAAATAACATGACTTACCCTTATATCCAATGTAGCAGCTGCTTTCATTGCAGCCCTCATGGTCTCGATGATGAATCCGAACCCTTCCAGCGGGTTTGCTGGTGCCGGCGGGACTTGCAGTCTAGGAACGGCCAACGTAAAATTTCCAGACTCCAAAGACATGGTTCGATGATACTTCGAGAGCCAATTTAATGTTCCTAACTACTTCGTCTATGCTGAGCGTAGAAGAACCCATTGAACTGTGTAGCGACTTATCGCTGAGTTCAAGTTTGTAACGAAAAAGATCCAGAGAACTGTTAAAATACCCTTTTATTCACTCAATGGAATGATAACAGTTGGCCCCTTCTCGGGCTTAAAGGACCTTTAAATCAAGCTAAGAAAATAAGAAACTCATCTAATACTAAACTAATAACTATATAATTCTAGAATTACATAAAATATTGTACATATTTTATAGATTTGCATGCATCAAATTACTTAAAAGATAACAAATTAGTTAAATCTATTTAAAAGCTAACAGCAACGTATAATGGAAGATATGTATTTTTTAAAAGAACTTTGTTGCACTGTAAAAGTGACATTAAAATTTTGCAATCCTTCAAATGTAGCAAAGCCTTCCCAAAAATGTGATTTTGCTCATATAAATTATTGAATTAAATCTTTTACGTAAAGTCGAAGAAAATGATTATTTTGTTGTAATTTGTAGTTCAAACTTTAGTGGAATACCTATCATCTCGCAGTATGACGTACTTTTTGAAACTAGCTGAATTTGGTGGTGTTCTTCCCCTGCTCCAGCGGCCAGATATGTTTACGATTTTTGTGCCGACTGATGACGCATTTGAAGGTAATTACTGAATTTTAAATGTCTTTTTTTTAAATTATACAGCGAAATTTTTGTATGACTTTAATTCCTTTTCCATTTTCATCATAAATCCATAATATCCATCATAAATCCTTTTCCATTTTCAGCTCTTCCTAACGATACTCTCTCAGACATATTCAACCAGTCATCATTAGCAAGATCGTTTGCTAGTTTCCACATAACACCCGGCCGGCAGCTTACATCCAACTTAATTGATGGTCAGACATTATCAACTATTCAAGGCTCTGATTTCCCTTTACGGTTCAAACTACATAAAAAGGTTTTATTCTACTATGTATATTAACTGTTACTAAATATATTTGATGGCAGAATAGGCTTTGTATGTGTGAAACATATCTACTGCTCTTATTAATATTAACTAGTATCAGAGAAATTTTAAATCATGTACTGCAGAATTAAATAATAAAATAATAAGAAAAAAGAAATGTATCTGATACACTGAATATTATGCGAATTATGAACCATTATACATGTCCCATCAGATCGTGCGTTTACGATCACTGGACGTTACTGGATAACATAGAACGGGGATTCAGCACTAGGATCTCAAATTAGCAAAGAGCGCAGACAGAGCGCGAAAGCATAAGGCTTATTATTTTTGAATTAGTAAGTAGATAAATAAATATTTACCATATTTTGAATTGGGCGCATTCCAACCTGTAGAAAGAGGAGCTTATAGCGTAATACTACGATGGGCTGTTTTAGAGAACTACCGTATAATGATCTCTAGTAATATGTTGGTAATAAAATGAATATGAATGCTAAAAGTAAATTTTACGATTGTTATTCGATGCTACAATCCGATTGTTTACGATGTAATTTTTTACATCCGGTGCAATCGTAAAATCTCAACAATCCCGAAAATTTGGAACAGAAGAATACACAGCTTTATGTAAGCTTTTCATGACTTTTCAACAGAATAGTTGAGCCACTACAGGTATTCCATTACGGGTATTTTGTTTCTGAAGAAGCATGTTCCATATCTTCGTTAGAAAATTTGACGTAGAAAGGCTTCTGAACAAAGATTACAAACAAAGCGTTTGCATATTCCAACAAATAATAAGATGTTTTTTTCATTGATACCATCGTTTTTAATTTCAGCACATCCAGCATATCGGAAATAGTGAACTTTTCAATGTTGCTAAATAAAAACTGGAAAGTTACAGTTTCAGGTTATATCTGTATGTGTGAAAAAAATAATTATATCAGGTGCAAGTATGCTTTATTTTTGCAGCATTTTTTTTAGTTACCCTGTATAGAAATGTAGATGAACACATATGCGTTGTGCTTTAATGATGTTCAGAAAATGAATGCGCCTAAGTTTTAAGAAGTATCATACAGCGTTTATTTTAGATCCAAATTTTCTAATTGTTAAACTGATTTAAATGCATTAAAATTTAGATCATGTGATCGCAATAAAGTTGTATTTTAGTAAATTATTTCTAATTTTTTAATTTCATGTAATCTTAAAAAACCTCGTTCACACCCGGCTTTGTTAACATTTAATAATTTTCCAGCGAATTACTGTGGAAACAGCGCTCGTGATTGAAGCCGACTTGGAAGCTCGCAACGGAGTTCTTCAAGTCATCGATAATGTACTTATCCCTCCTACCAGCACTATCTTAGATCATCTCCAGCAGAAAAACTTCAGGTATCGGAATTATTTTAAAAGACATTCTGAAATTTCTATACACAGAAGAAATAAGTACGAAGTAACACTGCACCTTTTATAGGCTAGCCAAAAAATGTGTTTGCTCCTGAACAGATTGCTTTGTTTTATTGTCTTCGAAATCGAGAATTTTATTAAAACAATATCATCTGACATAAAAAAAATGTGTAGAAAATAATCTGAAGGACATTATTTTAATCTCACGTTTGCGTCTATAAAATATGTAACGTTTATATATGCTATCTAGTATAATTAAAATTTCTCAAGAATGAACATTCTGAAGCACTGTTTAAACTTATAGTATATTCTTATAGTATTTCATTATCAAGACGGCCATTTCTCAGTTTTAATTTGTCTTCAAATTTAAGAAGACAAATCTTTGTAACGATAAAATATGAGGTTACCTCCTTATCGCGTGCCTTCGTGGTGTAATCGGAAAAACGTCTGAGTAGCAAGCGGAGTTCAGAGTTCGAATTCTGACGAAGGTACTGCATATTTTCATGTTTCCTGCTCTAATAAACCTAATAACTCTATAACAGTACTTACAGACATTGATCTTCTAAGCAGTGGTAATAACAGCAGTAACTTCTAAGCAGTACTGTTGGGTTATTTATCATTTGGGAATTGACATAGTAATCCTAAAAATACCCAAAAACAACCAGTTCCATATCATTCTTCCACTCATTTGGACTTGTTTTCGTCGTAATCTTCAGTCAATATACCATTCTTAAGAAACCTTTATACGCCTTCTTAGAAAAATGAGGAAACAAATATAATCTGAATGTAATTCTAAAATTTTAAGAACTTGTAGAGACATTAAGTATTTTTTGGAAGCAGGAAAGATGAAAAATATGCAACGCCTTCGCCGGGAATCGAATTGCGAACCTCTAAATTACGCGCTGAGCGTGCAGACCACCACACTACGAAGGCATGCCAAGAAAGCAGGAGAAATACATTTATAAACTTTATTTTTCTGTGCGCATTAAAGTTCGTAGACTAAAACCTGTCGTCTTCATTACATGACTCTTTTGCCTATATGACTAGCAGCAAAAACCTGCATTCAATGTGATTTATTATTTTCATAATTTAATCAAAAAATTTATAAAACATTTCGAGCAATACAATTCAAGGTTTACTGGATGATTTTTACAGCTTTCTAAACTTCTCAATGACAGTTAATGCTACGTTGAATGGCAGTTATTTAGATGTATTTCTTTAGGATTTGTTCCTTAGGGCGATAAGAATATTTTTTAACTACAGATGTTTTCTCAATACTTGTTATGTGTCCTGTAATGGCTTTATGTGCACTCATTAAAGAGCTATCCTCTCTTCAAAGCAATATTAGTCAGATAACTTTTAAAACACGCTTTACTAATCTACGAGAATGTTCAATAAGCTTCGAGCTCAAGCATGATACATTAATTGAGGAAAGACGAAACGTAATGAAATGATCGCATGATCCTTTGGAAGTACTATCAGAAGGAAAGCACAATGAGCGGGCGTTATGATTTGCTTTCGGCACCGATTATTAGGGAACGATAGTGATTACTGCTTATTGATTACACACATACAAGTATAATGGTAAGATAAGATAACTGCTATTAGTTATGGAAACTTGTTGACTCTAATTAAGACTCTAGTTAGAATTATTGACTTAGTTAAATTAGTTAAATTGTTGACTCTAGTTAGAATTAACTGGGCATATAGTGTTTACTTTCACATGTCGACGTCCCAGACTGAAAGAGTCTCATATTTCCTAGGCTGCTATTCAGCAGTGAGGATAGAAAATTCTCACCTGCTCTCTAAAGCTAGCTTCCCGTGATTTCGTTTTGTTTCAAAAATGAAGCAGCATTTGCATGATTCGCGTTAAAGCGAAGATGATGATTTCAAGCATGCATTTCAAGAGTGGTTTGAAGGCTAGACAAAACTGTCATCTTCTTCGCCTTGGATTCTAAAGCTCAATGGATCGCTGTAGTAAGAGCATCGATGTAATGGGGGATTATGCAGAAAAATGGGAAAGTAATTTCAGCCTTTTATTTTGTAAAAATGTGCTTATTTTACAGCTTATTGAACTTTCCTCGTGTTTAGATTCGCAACTCTGTATTATCAACTCACTGAAAAAATATGTATGGCACGTAATGCAATCGAACAATTCGAACTTTTCAACGCTTCAGATCCAAAAGTTACTTTACTTATAATGCATGTGATTGATTTTTGTAGAGAACATAAGATTGATTAATTTTGGCATCGTAAGGATCACTCTGTTTATTAATGCTAATGCACCAATCTCTTTAACAGTATATTTCTCAGCTTATTAAACCATACGGATCCAAATTTATTACAATTGCTGGATAATTCAACAGCTACATTTACAGTGCTTGCTCCTAATGACATAGCCCTGAATGACACGCCACCTGGAACGCTGCTCCGTCTTCTATCTGATCCTCCATTGCTTTATCAGGTAACTATCATTTAAACGATTGTGAAGTAAAAATAAAATGCCTTTAAAATTAAAATGATAAGTATATAAGTAAAGCTCTTAACTCATTCTTCAAATACTTCTAAAAATTATTATTATTATTATTGGAAGAAAACTTCTTAACATTTTTAAGTAAGAAGGCTATTTTCATTATTTTGTTTCTCAAATAAACATTTCATTTCTATCAGAACTGAAATTGCTTTCTCTATGTGGCTGTGCTCAGAATAAATCTGAAAAATATGTTATTTCTACAGTTAAATTCTCGTTCTCTTCAATATTTTTTTCTTACGTTTATTTCCATGTTTACTTGAAAATGCAGGAGAGTATATATGCTTTTTATTCAGACTTCCAAAGAATTCCTTAATTTTTATTATGAGAAGCAGTTCTGACTAAAACTTAAAACTATTTTTTGTTGAAAAGCGGAAGACATGGGCCAATTGATGCTCTGTGTGCGAGATTAGGCAAAATTAGAAGAGCTATGGCCTTATTAAATCTGCAGGTTACAGTTGCATTACCCTACTTGTTCCTTTCATAAAGCAGCATGAGTATGAGAAAATATTTTTCTTGATGAAAACGAACAAAAATAAATTTAAAATATCTACTCCGTGTATGTGTAATAAGGTTACAAGCGAAAACATCGCGGCAAAAACATCGTGGACGAAAACGTCGCGGAGAAAACAACGCAAGGTGAAAACGTCGTGCTACAAAACATCTTGGGAAAAAAACATCGCAAAGAGAAAACATCGCAGCCCTAAAACATCGTCGTCGAAAATAAAGCGGAACTTTCGGAAATAAACCGAAACTTTCCTTTAAACACATACACTCTTTGCCCTATTTGCACTCTGGGTAAACCTTCCTATAAATACTAACTCGTTTTCCCTCATTTACATTCTAGTGGGGAAACGGAAACGAGAAGTGAGAGTAAAGATTTAAAACATAAAATAACTGGTTAATGAAAAATAATAGTAATACCCTACAAAATCAAGACAGAAAAACAATGTGTTTTAAATAAAATATTCAACAAAATGTTGTATACTAATTGAAAAATAATGGTGCATGCTTACGCAACTATGCATTGTTTATCAATTTTAAGTAAAAAGCACAAATGAACTTTTTCCAAGGCTTCCGGCATTAACAAAAAAGTGTATTGTTACAAATTTTAATACGAATAATAATTACGAATTACATAACTCGTAATAATTCGTTAAATATATGTAAATAATTTTAGTGAAACTATATGTGAAACTGTACTATCTTTTGTATAATATAACATGAAATGCTTGAAAAAGTGAAGCTGTGCCGGAAAAAAAAAGTTACAGAGGCAAGTCTATTTAACATTGAAGTAAATGACTGCGTCGCTGAATTGGCGAGATGTCGCCAAGCCGACCATGGTTTTAGTAACCAAATTTGTCACCAAATTTGGCGAGAAATCGCCAAAAGTTGGCAAATTTAAGTGTAACTGTATGAGGCACTTTTAAATAACTTTAAGTGTGTATGCCTTCCAGTAATTTCAAGAATTGGGAGGTACTAGAGATTTCTAGACATTCGAGGGATATCTATATAAAACCAAGAGAAGCATCAGTTCTCAATTTTTAGTTCAGAGTTAGATCTCTGTAAGATCTTTACATGCGCTTTGAATTGCATTCTGTTTAACGTTCTTAGTAATTTAAAGTAGTGTTACTTTTTCTTTAAGTACGGGTTCGTGGATTTGGAGTGAATAACGATGACAGCACATGATGAAGTATCAAAACACAATTTATTAGCTAGTATTTCTCAGGACAGGTCCAATAACACTTTTATAGTGAATCTAAAGTTACGTTTTGATCTATTTTAAACATGAATCACGAAGCTTTGCTGAAAAGAAAGAGAGTAATAAAATCACAAATAATGAAATGCAGGGGTAAACATAGCATAGAAAACGCAGACTTAAGAGCATGTGAATTACTTTCGTAGAATTATAATGCATCAAAAAAACTAGTTGATCAGTTATGTGCAAAGTGTGAGGAAAAGAACTTAGAAAAATGCAAGGAGCAGTTTAGCAATCAATAAAGTCTAAATGAAGTAATCTTAAAACTAAATAGAAAATCATAGGAACTTAAGTTAGGTTTGAAATTAGAGATAAAAGCTGAGAGAACGTCTTCAGAAAGTGTTAAACTCCCAAAATTAAACTTACCAACATTTAGTGGAAGTTTGCAGCAGTGGATAACTTTTAATGATCTGTTTAATGCATGTGTGCATAGTAAACTCAGTTTATCAAATGTTCAAAAGTTACAGTACTTAAAATCGTCATTAACTATGATAGTATTGTATTGTGCAGTCAGCAGCGATAACAGATTTCACTCAAATACTCCAGCTTGTCGTGACTCTTTGCAGTCTCTATCTCACTCTCAGCCCCTCTACTGGAAAGCTCTGCCCTTATCCTCAGTGCTTCTTCGTAGCCATATAAGAGTAAAAATCTAATGACGTCACTGCTTGCGACACAACAGTTATCACACACTATTATTGGCTGTTTAAAATTGTGATTTTAATACTACTGAGAAGAGGATTTTACTTTTTCTATAATGTAAGTATGTGCACCAGCAGCATTACATAAATAGAAACCATTAATATATGCAAACCATTAATGAAAGAATGACGCGCATGAAACATATAATCTATAACTATCCAACTACTTTTAGAACAGGAAAGGCAACATCATCAAATAAAAATAAATTTTTTTAAGTACTATAACAATCAAAAGTAAAATTAAATCTTATATATATTATTTTCATATGCTATGATATTAACATCTCAATTATATTAAGTGTAGTGAATTTACCACATCGTAATTTTTATATAATGGACTTATTTTATATCATTTACATTTGTGTTTAGCCTTTTTATATCATTTTAAGATGTAAAAGCTATCTTGCGTTTTTAGCATTATGAAACAAGCTTGATCTTGTACCATAAAACTTAAGTCAATTCTGTATGCAAAACCGAAATTCACTATCACCTGTCAAAGAAATATTAGTATCAAAGAAGAAATATCAACAGTTCTCAAATCTTACGGTTTCCTGTTAGTAGCATTAAAAAAATGAACTATAAAAATATCAAAACTTAATGCTTAAGGTCTAGAGAAGATATAAAAAATCTTGAAAGAAAATCTTTTCTGACTGATATACAGAACACAATATATGAAACAAAATCTTTTATAAAATTATGTATTCCTCTTAGATGAATATAAGATTTGTAGGGTTTTAATTGTATAGAAATTTAAAACAATATACTTCGGACCCTACTAGACCGACAAGCGAGTTATCGCTCTAGTCTGAACTAAGGTGACAAAGTCCTACGAAGGTTAAAATAACTTTTTTATTAACTTTTTAAATATAACAGACGGAACCACTTATGCTACAAAACAAAACTCCGCTACTTTCAGGTATTTAAAATAACCTAAGTAAAACTCAGATTTAAGTAACGTATTTGGAAACTAAATAAATGGTCTCCTGAAGCTGGCTCAATTAATTAAACGCCGCATTTTAAACTTTGGCTGGCAAAATAGCTAAAGACAGAATAAGCTTTGGCAGATCTGACGATAAACGTAAACTGCAAAGGAGGGTGTCAAAAGCTCTAAAACATTCAAATCCTCGGCATAAATACTCTAACAACTGATTTGCATTCTGGGGAGAACTGAGGAAAGAAAAAGTTATAGTAAAAGTTAAAATCATAATAATTGGTTAATTAAGATAAAATCCTACAGATCTTTTCAGAATTGTTATTCTGGAGGAATAACATTTATTCATAAAAATGCCGAGTCTGATTTATAATTTAAAAAAAAAACTTCTCAAATTTGCCTCCAATATTGTATGTGTATATATATTACGATCTCTGAATAGCAAATTTCCAGTCAAAATTGGTAAACAGATTCAACCTTAACAACGAACCGAATTAACGTTTATAACTGGCCTTAAATTTCATTTATCCAGTTTTATCTCGTAAGTCCATCATCATACAGAGTCATCATCATACAGAGTCATCATCATACAGAGTCATCATCATAACATATTTAAAATGAGCCACCCTTATTCTCAAAATGCTGCCATTTCAATAATATTGTAATGGTACCTTCTTCCAACTGCAAATTAGTAAAACAAGACTTTTAAGTAAGCTCACAGGCAAAAATTAAGTGATATAATTTTTGGACTTCTTGGAGGCCACTCAGTATTCCATTGTCAAACAATCCATCGCTCCCAAAATATTTGAAGTTTGAGAGATATCCTTAATTTAAAGTAAATTTCGAATGAATCTCTATCTTTCTTTAGTCTATTATTTCATTTTTCTTTACAAGCTAGATACCTTAACACTTAAGATTGTTCTTATTTCAACTAATTTTTCTCTCTGTTACACGATAGTTAAATGATGTTTATTACTCACTAATCATTTAGACATTATTCAGTGGCAATATTGACGTAGCTAATAAACAACATACAGCAGTAGATCAAAGTTTAAGCAGACTTCCAATAGTTCGTGGGGAATAGCAGTCACTGTGTCAGCACTAAAGTAAATTCAAAAAGCAACCATATCTTATAAAACTGTTTATTCCTTCATTTACACTTTCGACTTCAAAGTCTGCTGGAATAAATGACTGCGAGAAACGACAAAAAAGACTGGATATTTTAACCAAATCTTATATATTTGTATAAAAAAAATTAAATAAATCTTATAAACTCTTACTTTTCAATTTCAGACGATGGCTCGTCACATCTTGCCAACTTTCGTCGTTAGCAGCACCTTAGAACCTCATCTAACCTATTCATATGAGACTGTAAATGAAGAAATGATTACTGTTACGAAAGAAAATGGTGGCTTTTTGACCGTGGCTCGACTCGCTGAAGTTATAATGCCTGACCTGGCAGCAAAAAATGGTGTCATCCACGAAATTTCGAGATTGATACAATTTTAAATGAAACGTAAAATTCAAGTCGGAACTGAAAGTATTCCCATTTATTGGTTAATTATCTCCATTTGTGCCACTGTCAGAAAAATGTTAATGAATTTTCTTTAATGCAATTGTTATCTGTTATTATTTTGTTATCATTTGAAAAGGTGCATCATAATATCTATAGCTCTAACACAGTACACATATATACAAAGGTAATATATTATTTTAAAGATAAAATAAAGTTTCCGAATGTAATAAAGTAATTTATAAACATCGAATATCACTATAGTTTTATGAATGTGGGAATAAATTTTTATGTCTGAAAAGTAATGTACGGAGTTTTTTCTTTGCCACACAATAATGACTGACAAGTAAAAAATACAAAATTTTAAAATATGAATAATCTTTATCTCTCAGTAATGAGTGGAAAGGTTGAGTATACCACGTCTTGTGCCTACAGTTAATATCAATGTTAAGCGCAATAACGGGCTAGGAAGGATAGTCATTTTTAGTCATGTGAAGGTTTTTATTACCTTTCATAATAAACCTTCCGAATAAGTTATTTAAATTAGCGCTAACTTATATTATGTTTGAATATTACTGTCATATAATTATAGCTTTACACTAAAGGTACTATTTCTTAATATAAATTAAACTCTTGCGATATGTCGTTGCATTACTAAACAATTTGGAAAGGTCGGAAAATCTAAAACTACGCACGCGTGCAATGAGTGCTTTCCTTGTGTTGTGGTGGTCCACTGTTTGGGTATGTCCTCGGTTTTATATTAATTTTGTGTGTGTGTGCCGCATTCTTCTTTGTTTATCTACGTGCTGAATTTATGTGAATCAATAAAAATTCTCAACGTTTGGTTTATTTTGTATTTAATTGTACATATACATAGCAAAAACATCGTATAACCAAACTTATTAATCCTCTTATCATTTAGGGTGAAATGCGTATTTCATAAAATTAAATTATAGGTAATCGATAATAGGTAAGCAGTAAATAAATTTCATTAGGTTTATGACAATATTAAACAATTTATATGTAGCATTATGTTACTGTCATGTATTATTTTAAAATAAATATATAGTATGGCGTATTATACTGAAGAGAGTAGAGCAGGTTTATCTGTGAAGTCCTGGTGTAGATGTGCAACTGGCAAAGAAAGAGGGACAGTGGAAGATATAAGGCTAACGATTATTGGTGCAGAGGTAGAGGGAGGGTTAGTGAAATAAGAGTTAATGTTGTAGAATATATTATTTTTTATAGTTAAAAATAATAAATAAAGCTAAAAAGGCAAAATGTTTTGAAATCAATTTAACTGAGAAAAATAAACATTGAAACGATTAACTGAGAAGGTGATAAAAAAACCAGAAAACTAACAATGACATGAGTTTAATTGAATAATTAAGAACAATAAATTAATATAAAATTTCTACATATCATAACTAATTGGGTTTAGAATTGTTTTCAGAAAGTAAAACTATAGTTAACAACAGATCAAGAGGTCACAAAATATAACCTTCTATTATGCGATAAAATTAAAATTGGGCTGCAAACTTAGCAGAAAGCCTTTTCGTGCTTTCCCATAAATGTGTGATTCAGTTTCATACATCGACAGGGGTTTTTTTTTTTTTTTTTTTTGCTTAAAACACGTAATCTAGGTCATGTTATTCATCTAAGTCAACAGCATACATAACCTGCCATTTTTCAAGAAATCAGCTGAATCTTTTCAAGGCAACCCATTTCTTCAATCATCATTCTTGTTCCTCAAAACTTTTTGCTAAAGAGTCAATCGAGTTTTAGGCTTCTGTAATTTTATCCATGGTCCTTAGTTCCATCACTGATAAGTAATGTATGTACATGCAATACGCAGTGCCTGATGTGATCACGTTTGCTCATAGCCATTTTGATAATATTAAATGATGATATGAATAGCCTTCAAAATAGCAATGGAATTTAACTTAAATTATGTTAAATTACATAAATATAGCTAGAAATATGTAAATAAGCAATTTCATAGCATTTTAATTAGGAAAATGCAAATCTAATTATCTTAAAACAAGCGAATCACTCGGTATCGATCTGTCTTCCGTATCCGATGCGAAGACTTAAGATATGACAGTACGAGACAGAAGGAGAATGAAATTTGGGAAAGACCTGCTTGATAGTTTTGCAAGTTCTTCGAAGCTGAAAGAGAAGGTTTTGATTCTACCTCTACGTTTAATTTCAGAATCACGCGATTCGTTTGTGTGGATTAATTTATTATATTTTGCTATGGTCTTTCATATAATATATAATTTTAGGATTTTTTAAAATGAATGATATTGTTGCAGATCTTTAGGAAGAGGGAACAAGTACATGTTCTTGTCTACGGTAAGAAGTCTCAGCCAGCTTTTCGGTAGCTTAAAACTGAAATCGAGAAGAAACCTTTGTGTATCAGTTATTCTAATTTAAATAGCCATAATGCCGCCTTATTGGCAAGATGGTAGGGTAGGCAGTCATCTGTCACAGCTTTGGCCTTGGATTCGATTAACGGAAAAGGCGTGTATGTTTTAAGTGTACAGTGTCCTTCCAGTGTCTTTTGAGTCCCTTAAAGTACAATCGAGCTGGAAGTCCTTTTAAGAGATTTAGGGAAAAGGATGGGAAACTCTTGGATTCAACCTTTGAATTTTTCTGCTCAAAATTGGGACGTAGTTGAGCAACTTCATACTATCACCTATAAGGTGAACAAGATCTAATTCGACGACGGAAGCAGTCTTGCCGATAACATCACAAGCGAGATAAGTCATACCAACAACGCAATAATTATAAAATCATTTGTCTTTAGTCAGATCAAATGAATTAAAATGTATTTTGATTGCTTTTTTCCAATAGAGCAAGATTCAGGTATTAGACTGGCTTTAGTATTTTAGATTATTTAGCTACTACTTGCTGTTAGCATAAAAAAAACTCTCCATCTCATAAATGTGCACAGTGCTTTCCAAACATTTAGATGATGAAGAATTGACCATTCTTTGAAAATCCAAAAAACATTATTCATGTTTTGCACAGAGCTAATGTTAAAGAAAGTAAAATGATTTTAACATGAGACTTATTTGAAAAGATTAATTTATATTGTCTCATTTTTGGGGAAACAAGAACGTGCATTTAAGGGCCATGGACAGTCTGAAACCTCATCAGATAAACTCGTGTATTCAGAGATGTTTCGAAGTTTAATTGCTTTTGACTCATTTTTTTCCCAGCCGTAAAAAAATGTGCGTTTCAGGGATATATAATCTATAATAAAAATGATCTTACTGATACTAATACTGTACTATATTTACTAATAAAAATTTGATTAGAAATATCTAAGAGACCTCTTGTTACGATATTCTTGATATAATAACACGTGATTTACAGAATCCAGTTATCTATTGCAGAGATAGGTTGATGTTCAAAGAAACTGTGTCAATACTTTGCAAATAAATTTTCTTATAAACAGGAGTACAGTAACTAAATAGATCCATTTACATATTTTTCTCTACGGCTGGATGATAGTATGATTCAAAAGCGAAAACACTAATGTTATAAAAAAATTTTTTGTTTAACTAGGGAAAAGTATCAAATTCCTAATTTTTAAAATAAAAAATGCAAGCGGAAAACTAGGTCAAGGTCGAAAATGTGTCACAGTAGACTTTCGGGACCGTTATTTGGCAAAGATTTGGACCGTTTTTTGGCAAAGACTCGAAGTATATGACTGATATCAGCCTAGATTGCAAGGGAGTAGTACGCTGCAACTACAAGAAGATAAATGATGAATGACAGACTGCACCAAAGAGGGTTGTATGGAAAAAAAACCCATGATTTTTGTCCTACAATTTTGGACGGCGAAATGCGCTCGATTGCAGTTTAGCAGAGATCATTGTAATTGGAGTACCACAGATTGGAGTCAAGTTATCGATACCAGTGAGTCTCATTTTTTTTCGGAAAGTGATTCCAGACGTGTTACAATCTGGAGGCAGCAAAACGCACGCCATAATCATGAAAATAACCGTAAAAAACATCTGTATAAATTTGGTAGTGGAATCATTGCATGGATTGGCATCATTTTGAATGGTCACACTGACCTACGCAATTTTATCAGAGCAACTATGAATGCTAAAATATGCAAAGCTCCTTATGTCAAGTTGTTCAGGAGTGTAATCGGTAACAACTTCACGGTATAATTCGAAGTGTACAGGACTAGTAATCGGGAAGTCAGGAGTTTGAATTCCGGCTATGGCAACTCATAATTTTCACATTCCCTATACCGTAATAAACTCTAAAATGTTAGTTTTCATATTTACAGAACTCTTCCATTTATACTGATGAAAATGTTTTTGTAAAATTCTCCGTCTTATTGTGAGAAACTCTGTGGTTAAAGTTGCATTTCTAGAATCAAGCTTTTAATTAATTAAAAGAAACAAGCTTTTAATAGCCCTTTCCAAACAAACCCGTACAAATTGAGTCCTATTTTAAGCGCATAAAATTATTATTAAATTATTCGTTATTTTACATTAGTTTCACAAGGAAAATTATAAGTATTTATATTAATTTAGATTTTGAATCAGCCAGATGAGAACAATATATTTTTTGATTCACGCAACGTACCTGCCCTTTCAGTAACCTTCAGTCTATATTCCCTGTACCACTCAAGTTCCATACAGTTCCACTAGAAGCTTGGAAAGAATTTTTGAATATCATGTATATTGCAAAGTTTAACATCTAAAATTTATAATTTGTTTAAATAAACATAAACACGATTATGTTACAAAATTATATGAAATGTTATTTGTAGCACCTTAGTTCTGCCATTTCAAAGGAACTTAATACGTCAGTTAAAGGAAATTATTAAAATTAACACGAAAGCATTTATGCATTACATTTGAAGTTAGATACTTGCAAATAATATAAAGAGATTAATTGCCAATGTTTTGAAAAATTGAAATGTTTTCTGATAGAAAATAAAATTTTGGTAGTTGTGTTATAAAATGTACACTAAAACATATTGGACAGTTTTAAAAACTGGAAAAGACTTTTTCTCAGAAAAAATCGAGAAGCATGCCTGGACTGAAAATCCATTTCCAAATTACACCAAATAAGATCGCTTACCCAAGGCCAGTCTTAACTGTATTTGGCGCCTTGGGCGAAACGTTTTTTTCTCGCTCTCTTCTAAAAATCAAAAATAGCGAAATTATGATAGAGAATTCCCCAAAAGATTCTTTTTGGTATTCTGAAAAATCTTAATAGATCTTATGCTAATAGATGTTCTGAAAGAAAGGCCATGAAATGATCAAAATATAATATCTGCATCGTTTTAATAAAATTAAAGACTTAAATGACAAATTATCTTAGCATACTTTTTATATGCTAGGGAAAGGTCCGTTTTCCTAAATGATATTTCAAGGAAGTGTAAAAATACATTGTGGTATACTCGGACCAAGCCGCCCAGGCGGTATAGTGGTTAGAGGAGCCTGACTGAGAAAACGAAAGGGCCCGGTTTCGAATCCCGGAGAAGACATGGATGGGAAATTGTCTGTCCCTTCATAGGAAGTAACGGTAATACATTGGGGGTACACTCAGACCATTCTGGCCACGAAATGGCTTCACGGTAAAAAAAAAAAAAAAAAAAAAAAAAAAAAAAAAAAAAAAAAAAAGGAGTGACCCCGAAAGAACATCAGATACAAAAAAAATAATACATAATACAAAATGTAAATAAGATACAAATAATACTCAAATATAAAATAAAAATAGGGAAAAACATATAACAAGCACTCACGAACATACAAACAAAAATTAATACAAAGGACAACATCAGATCAGAATTCCAATTACACCTCGATTTGC